AAGGAACGATTGGCCATCGGTGATCGGTCCTGTGGGAACAATGCTCCGTCCTCTCGAGGACGCGTGGTCAATGGTCTAACCGCTAAGACATGCAAAACATAAGAGTACGCCCCCCCCATGCTGCCGCCTCACGGGGTCCCAGTTCATGGTAGAGGGAAGTGTTCTGTGTTTTCAACCGCACTTAGACTGACGTCTTTTCATTGGTCAGCCCGTTAGCGCGGTCGATGCTAATAATAAAACACACAAACACCCCGTTGTTCGCTTGCGCTTGATAGAGACCACTGTACAATATCGCCCCGATGATGCAATTGTAGGTTCTGCGGCACAGTAGTGTAGTTTTTGTCCGCGTAATGCAGCCGAACCCACGTGCAAAACCTTACTATTTCAATCTCTAAGCTAGACTGCGGTTTGTTGAGACTCCTGAAAAAGAAGTAGTTTCGGGAAATCGCAGGTCAGTCGTGAGTGACACACTGCTTATGAATCCCTTCTCGCGTCAAAAGTGATAGCAGCACAGCACGGATAAGGCGAGAAGAAATACTCGTTTTTTCCTCCGGTGTGATGAGCAATCGGGGACGTGCAAACACACGGACCCAAAACACATACAGTGAAAACACGTAGGCCGAGCATGGATTAACAGCTTACATTCCATCCTCCCTTGCGACCTACTATCTTCACATGTTCCGTGCAATGAAGTCTCAAGGGAAACTACCGTAGCATGCACTGCTGTCGCGACGAGATTACGACCTGCCAAACAAAGCTTCAGTGCCCTGTTCACTCTAACTCTCGACATCGTACTCTGTGGTGACCTTTCCCAGTCAACGAGACAACTTTAGGCTGCAAGCTGCTGTACGCCATAAGGTGGGTAGGAAACGTGTTTTGGGTGTTGAATAGCAATAGCCCGGTAGGAACAGCAGAGGAAGCAGTATACGGTACGTGCTGTACAGCGGTGATGCCGTGTGTTCCATGAACAACGAGGGATGTTCCAAACCCTCAAACAGTAGTCTCACCACGAACCAACCAATGCTTTCCAAGAGCAAAGAGAGCGAACAACTACAATAGCAAGCTTCCATATTCCGTTCTCCGAATGTTAACGGCGTCTGTACGAGTTCACGACACACCCACAACGCTCGCACACAATCTGTGTAAATTATGCACTGGAGTCGGGTGGACCCCAAACTCTTTACAGCCCGAAATGAGACAATGGAAATCGCATGTGATAAAATCATTTCATCACTTTTCACCCGCCGCGGCAAAGTCGCTAAATTTCAGGGGAAAAGACACTTCTCACAAGTTACTTGTGCCATAGGCGGACTTCAACTCCACCATCTCCCCCAAATAAACAACGCAGTGTTCTGCAGGCGTCGCTGATCTCAATATCGTTCGTCGAGGAACGCTTCGGGTGATCACAATGCCACCCCTCTTTGATGCTATGTAAATTTCGATTTCGGTCAAGACGTTCCGACATGCCCAGCGTGCCCATGTCGCAACATGGTTTAATTTTGTACAACCCCCACGAGTAAAGTAATTCTCCGTAGAAATAACGCGGCAAAGCAGATTCAACTTCCCAACGTACTGGAAGGGGGATGCTGTATCACAATCAAGCGGATCATCAAATAATCTGACAGCAAAACCAAAACCATGTCTTTTTGTACACCAACAACGCGGCCCTTGTGCATACCGCCAAATAATCTTACCATATGGTATTTACAAGCCCGGCACTATCCAATTCACGGTTTCCTCTGCGAACCATACAACCTAAGAGAGGCGAGAAAGACCTTGGTGAATATCGATGTCCGGACATTTGAATCCGGTATGGGATTCATTCGGACGCGTGATGGTAGCGGACCACCCACCAAGTGCCGAGACAAACTTCACCATTGGCATCGTATGCCTATCAACAACTGGTAGCCACACCACAATTTATCTCTATCCTTGGGGTCTCTAGAGTGGTGGCGGAGTGGAGGAGGTCACGCAGAATGGTCAAGACTTCCTCCCTCCGAGGACCACAGTAGTCTTCCTTGCGCGTCCCCCCCGGAAGATCATACGTCCGACTCTTCAGCTAGGCCAGCCGAAGTGTTAACCGTAACGCCTCTCACCGGCGGCGGCTGCTGCTGCTGTTGTACCGCCACAGTGGCAGGCCTTCCTCCCCTTGCCGCTCTGCCCCTCGCAATGACCGCGGCCTGAGTAGACCCCCCCCCGCGGTATCCCGAAACCCCCTGAGAGCCGATGTGCCCCAACTGCTCTCCTGGTTGTTGTTGCTGCTGCTGCTGCTGGCTTTGTCTGAAGTGCTGCTGGGAAAATGCGGGGTAGTGCTGTTGGGGGTGAGCTGTAGGATCTTGTTGTTGCTGCTGCTGCATCGATGGGGCGGAAGACGACCGTCGCGCCGAAGGCGGTAAAGCCTGCTGCTGCTGTTGCTGCTGCTGCTGCTGCTGCTGCTGCTGTCCTCGGCGCGGAACAGCGGGAGCTGGGGACAGCCTTCTCTGGACCCGCTGCTGCTGGTGCTGCTGAGGCGCTTGCTGTTGCTGCTGCTGTTGCTGCTGCTGACCAAACGACGGGTGGTGGGCCAGCTGCTGCTGCCGCGCGGCCTTCGCCTGGGACAGCTGCTCCTTCCGCTTGCTCTCCGCCTTGAGGCAGAGCTCCTTGTAGTAGTTCTCGTACTTCTTAACCTGCTCGGTGAGCTTGCGGTTGGTCTGCGTCAACCGCTGCACCTGATCGGTTGCAATGATGATGGCCGGTCGGTTCAGCGATGAACCACAGCCGCGTGCGTGTGAGGAAGGGGGCGGGGCAGATGGGGGGGCAGGAAAACACAAGGAGCGGCGAATGGGGTGATTGAGATGGCAACAGGTACAACCGCAAAAAACATATTCCTCACGCCACACTGAAAGAAAACGCGGCGTGTTTCGCACACAAGACCACCGTAGCAGCATCCACAAAAAAAACATCCCAATGGTGTGGAAACCACACCGACCACCCCACCGGCCTCTGTTTAGTCGTCAAAAACTGGCTTGCTTCCAATCGGCGTGCCTCTCTCAATTTGCGAGTAAAAACAGACCCCATGTAGACTAGTATTCAAAAGCTAGACTGCTCCACTATCAAAAGGCACGAGAACCGGCAGACACTTGAAAGGAAAGCTCTCGACGAGATGTCTCCAGTGCAGGCTTTGGCAATGGCAGCAACTCGGCTGTGGAACAACGGAGCGAGCCTTGAGAGTCCGTCTAAGGGGAAATGCGATCGCTGGCAGTTCTTTCGGTGTACGAAAGGGTAAGTCGCGAGCTGTGCAAGACAAAGCTCCCAGCTAGCACCGGAGCACCTCCCCGCTTGTGAAATAGTTTGTACTTCTATGAGATTTGTGTGAGCGCTCGAGTGTGGTACCATGGTAGCAGAAATATCAGGCAGGCGAGCACGTTGTCAAGATGTATGATGTAAGCTGCAATACAGGACAAGAACTTGCACCCCATCACCCATGTGCTTTCGTCCTATTTACTATGGCGACAGTCCCCCCATTTTTCGTGGTGAGACGTGTACTACACTTTTCAGCGTTTTAGAGTACTACACTTTTCAGTGTATTTCTTCGTACAACTACAACCATCCAGGGTCACATTGGAGGGGGTAAACACCAGGGCTTTTTTCTTCTTTTTATTTCTTTTCACGCCCCACCTTCCTCCTGCGGTGCGTGCTGAATTTTTTTTTTACCGCGAGAAGGGTCCAGCCGTCCCTTTCCCTCGTCAACGGTGCTAACGTAGAAGTTTGGTACGCACGAGAGCTTTGTAGCTATATTTCGCTTTCACCCGCAGATTTCGCAAATTTTCCACCCCATGGGGATTCGAACTCACGACCTCTGCGACTAGCGGATTACGAGGATACCACTAGACCACCGGGGCGACCGGTACATCACCCATGGCGACTAAGGGAACCAGCACCCCATNTTGGAGGGGGTAAACACCAGGGCTTTTTTCTTCTTTTTATTTCTTTTCACGCCCCACCTTCCTCCTGCGGTGCGTGCTGAATTTTTTTTTTACCGCGAGAAGGGTCCAGCCGTCCCTTTCCCTCGTCAACGGTGCTAACGTAGAAGTTTGGTACGCACGAGAGCTTTGTAGCTATATTTCGCTTTCACCCGCAGATTTCGCAAATTTTCCACCCCATGGGGATTCGAACTCACGACCTCTGCGACTAGCGGATTACGAGGATACCACTAGACCACCGGGGCGACCGGTACATCACCCATGGCGACTAAGGGAACCAGCACCCCATCTCCCTTGAGGTCAATTCTACCAGCAACAGGAGTCCCGATGCGGCAAGCACAACCGTCGGGCGGGTTCTCTTTGTCGTGCGGGTGCTTACCTCTTCTACAGTCTTCGCGGGGTCTGAGGTGCTCGTTCCACCCGCCGCCGAAGCCGTGCCTGGCGCCGCTAGCTGAGGGTAAGACCTCATCACCTCGTCAAGAGTCTTCTTCAGCAGGGTGAACCTGGAGAACGCACGAGTGGCCTTGTATTTGGGGAAAAAATATCCAAATTTCGAGCGAGCTGTCAACTGCACGTCCGCCAGAAGGAGATTCGGCGATGGCGTCAGATTCCTTACATGCGAGGGCGTAGAGCAGGTGCACACTTGCACATGTTATTCAAACGATTTGATTGGCGTAGAGGTCAACCATTTCAGGTTCATTCACACGGCAACGTTTAGCGCTGAGGTGTGCAATTTTTTTTGCGTCTGACAAAGGCCGATGCCTGGAGGGGCGCCGCGATCCGTAGAAGCGCGGACCCCCCCTTTCCAGTTTCTGGTGCTTTCCGACCTATTGGTGGGGACCAACTGAAAGGTTGTTTACGAGCGCGGTGATGTGTGTGTGTCGTTGTCACTAGCATCGACCGCGCAAACCGGCCGCCAAATGGACACCATCATCTGTGTGGCCAATAGAACTACGCCAACCCTAGCTTGACCGCAGGCGCAACGCTTTCTAGTCCATTTGCGTTGCTTGTCATCAACAAACTTTCCACCAAAAATCGTCTGAGCTTCGATCGAACATCTGCACTTAACCCGCAGAGCAGAACAGCAACAGTGGCCTGGCTTTACACTGCATCTAGCGCCTATCGCGGTGCCCTTCAAAAATTTGTTGGTGGGCAAATAGCTGGTCACAGTCTTCGCGTTGTACACGCTCTCAGCCGTCATAAATGCACCTTTCGTGGTACTTGAGCTGGAACCTCTTCATCTCCTCGCGTATGGCTTCACTCTCCTGCCGAACCTGCGCGGCAACAAGCGAAGAAAGACAACACCCAGGACGAAGCCGCTTGGCACGTGAGATGCAACCACCCCCAAAAGCACCCGCCGAACAAGCGTTCTAAGCGTCAGCGGGGGTCGTCTTGGCTGTTCTACTCAAATGTGCCGCGTTTGCGGTTACAGATGGCGACCACCGCGGCTGGACCAGCTAGGTTGAGGGAAGTGTCACAGGTTGGTCGCAAACGAATGAGTAGTCTGCATCTTGAAATTCAACACCAGCCGCAGCAGAAGCAGCCGAAGCAGCGGCACTAGCGCCACCAACAGCAGCCGCGAGCGCACACACACGGCATGAGTGTGCAGGAACGCCGTCGCTTGGGAGCACAGCGCATGACAGAAAACACAACAACCCAAGGTGTGGAACCACACCATGTACCGGTACAAGGAAAAAAGACACAAACCTAAGATATGACTATAAAGCGCGTTCGCGATTATTGTCCCGCAATACAAGACTGCCCTCTTTCCATTCGCCAGCTGATGCGCACGGTCGATGCCAACTAAAAAATACACACACACATACACACACAAACACACCACTCGGACACATCATGCCTTTCGAAGCATGTTCTGGTTTCAGTCGCGCTGAGACTGACGTATTTTCATCGATCAGCCGGTTAGCGCGGTCGTCGCTAAAAAAAAGAGACACACACACACCACACAGATACACCAGAAGGGGAACATAAACCTATCAAACCGGACCGGACCACCCTAGACAGAAAAGCCGCAGCGATCCCTCCACCGCGTAGCACCGCGCAGCACCGCGACCAGAACTCGATAGAAATGTTGGAGACATTGCTGCGCCCCCAGCTTGTGGCCACGATGGTTTTATCGAATCCATCAGGTCGATGCCACTCAAAATCGGCAGTTTGGGGGCCATCGTCATATTCACACTTGCATCCGAATCGTCCCTACATTTCCGAACAGCCGTGGATGCACTCGCCTTGTCTCGTTCTTCGCACTCCTTCATGAGGGACACGTTCTCGTCCCCCAGCGTCTTGAGGCACGTCAGCAGCCGCATGATCTCGCCCTGCTGCGCCTCCTCCTCCCGCACTCGCCTCGCTTCCTCCTCCGCCGAAGACAGCAACAACGACGGTCGGCCCTCGCCCCCTCCCCCCTCTCTCGCCGACTCGCCAGCCCACGCCCCGCCGGCTCCAGCCGAAGGTCGATCAGCTCCGCAACCCGGACCTTGCACCCTCCTTGCAGTGTCAGCACCACGACCAACGGTGTTTCCTACACGCGGTATTTCTCCTCCCCCTGCAACTCTCCCGTCGGCTCGGGTACCGTCGCCGACGTTGTCGCTTCCGCGGCCAGAAGGAATCTGCGGGGCCCCTTCAGGCGAAGCATCGCCCTCGTTGAAACGGCGGGGAGCAGAGGTCGATCTCCCGCCGCCGCCGCCGGGGGGGTTCGTGACACCCGGCCTCGTCCCGGGCGACCCCAACACCCCGGCGGCGGGGCCGTTACCGTTACCGTACGCGTTGGCGGGGCCGCCAACGGCGACGAGACCGTTCCCGCCGGCGCCAGCGCCACCGAAGATGACCGACTTGTTGAGAAAGAAGAACGAGTCCCCCAGGGCGGAAGACAGGTGGGGAGCCCCCCCGCTGGAGAGTCGCTGGCGGGCTCGCCCCCCGGGGCCCCCCATCTTGCTCTCGAGCCCGAGCTTGGCGAGCTGGCGCTCCAGCTCTAGCAAGTCATCCCGTTGCGGCCTTGGTAGTTAGAGTTCGGGGTCAGGGTACGTTGGAACGGGTGGATCATGCCGCTAGCTTGATTGTGTCAAACCAGGCCACCACGTCTGCACAGGCTTACATCCTGAGGTGGCACACTTGACTGAAGGATCTACAGGTGTAGGAACAAACTGTTGCTGCTCAGTACTGCATCCATCTAGAAAACAGGCTGCCCTTTCCATTTTGCCAGCTGCCAAACCTAGCTTACACAGTTTGGATATCGACGTGCGGACGCTTGCGTGTGAAAACCAACAGCAACGGTCCCGGGAAGGCATCATTATGTACACTCCATAAAGAACATTGCAAAAGTACTCTGTCTCCACCATAACAGCACCAGCGCGTGACGGAGGGGAAAAAACATTGAATGTTGTACTACGCCCGGCTCTTTGGCAAGAGAGCGAGAGAGATCTCTACACGATCAAAACGGCAGCAGCAGCAACAACAACGCAGCAGTCGCACACCTAAATTTCTTGGCCAGCTCCGCCGCCGCGTCGCACCCCCCCCCGTTCGCCTCCACCGCGTTGCCGTTCGCCGCGGTGCCCCTCATGATGCTATCGTCCATATCAGGCCCGACCGAGTGGTTACTCCGCCCGTCGCCCCGACCCACCACATTATCCCGTCTGCCGTCCCCCTTGCCCGTATCCTTGACGCCGGCTGCCGCTGCCCGATAGGCTTCCGCTGGGGTTAGATCTCTCGAAGAGGACAAGGAGTTGTTGAGGGAACCGCGACCTTCGCCGGAGAGCCTGCTGAACAATCGTTCGACCAATCAGAACCCACGTGTGCGTGCAAGACGGCGACGGTGCCGAGGAATAGTGCATACATGGTGATTTATCGAGAGCTTGTTCACTCGCACGCACTGTACGCATAAAATTCGATTCAAAACATGGGCGGGAGTACGATTTAAACCGTCCTTCGAGTACCCGTGATGGGGTTGACGTAATAGCTGGTCGACGCAAACAGGATAATATTGAGTGGAGGGGGATATGCATCTCCGTTTTGGTGTAATTTCCGCCTCACTTTTAAAAATAGCGGTGGCAACATCACGTTGTGTCCCTCCAATTCAGGATCAGAACACACATTCCCTCGGTTCTGGCTCTGGGTGGGTTTGGGTTTTCGCTTACCGTAATCGTATGGCCCCCTTCTCTGCCCGAGCGGCGTGTGAGTCTGCCAGCAGCAGCAGCGAGGAGGCCAGCACGCCATGCTCTTGAACCTGCAGGAAAACGCACACCAATCCATCGACGCCCGTTACAGCAGTAGCACGTGAAAACAAGGGGGCTGAGAGATGCCTGCTCTTGAAATACCTCAAACAAATCGACTCCCGTAAGTACGGGAGAATGGGGTGTGAATGATGTATGCTCTTGAAACATCTGAAATCAATCAACGCCCGAAAGCACGCGAGTAGGGGAGTTGGATGATGTTGATGCCGTGCTATTGGAACACACCACTCAATCAACTCCCATTACATAACACGTGAAAAGGGGGGATGGATGATGCCCGCTCTTGCAACATCCGACTCAATCGACGCCTCGAAGCACGTGAAAAGGATGTGCGAATGATATTCAGCGTGTCGAGAACGTGCGTAGCGTTGTCTGTAGTCTCACGTTCGATCAATGGTTTGCATGGGGAGTGGATGTGCCCACAATCGGTGTGCTGCTGTGTGCTCCCTTCAGGCAAGCGTGGAACAAAGGAATCAATTCTTATATTTCCAGTAGTACTTGTTTGGGTGTGGCCGAACCAGCTTGTGACTGACTTCTGTCAGAGAAGGGATATTGTACAGCGTAATGGATTGGTTGTGTGCTGGCTTGTTGTGTCCTTATCCTTGGAGCGCCCATTCCAAGAGCTTGGAAGGCCCATTCCAAGAGCTACACAACTCGTCTCGACCTATGCACAAACACTAACTCGAGCAAGCGTGCAAGACAATCGAATCGCTAGATACGAGAGAGACGTCAACTTGCAAAAACGAGCGCCTCCTCAGGAACACTACCTGTGAAACTGTCCATGCGGCGTGCGGTGCATGAATTAATCACCCCATGTACAAGCAGAGTAGATATTGTTGTGGTACCCGCCCGTTCTCGCCTGTTCGGCTGCCCTGAGAAAGTCTCTCGCGGCGGCAAGATGCAGCTCGGAAGCCTCCGCATGGTCCCCCTTTCTGCCCGCATCCTCCGCCCCTTGCGCGCAACGATGCGCCTGTGGCGCGCGAGAGAAAGAGAGGATGAAGTACATGGGCGAGTCGGGTGTGACGGGGAAGGGAGGTCTAGGCTAGGGGCTCGGGGTGCTACTTCCCTTGGACACTCGGCAACTCTATCTCTCTCATTTGTGGTATACACATCACGCCGCCTTTCGTCTCGCGCTTGTTCAAAAATAGCACTGACAAGTCAACTGTGCTGTTGTAACTATGCCAGATTGGGGCCCGGCAAACGCACACCTTCCACCACACACTCTTCAATCCTTCCGCATGAACACACCACAAACACCACAACTGGTCTTCACTTCACTTCATTGCGCGGCGGTGGTTGATACCTCTGCTGGGGCTGGTTGCCGATACTCAGGAAGGTGGCAAACCGTTGCTCTGAGTTGGGTGTTCGCTGTCTGCTGTACACGTGAACGTGAGTGTAAGGATTACAGCGGTAGAGCGGCGTGATATCTCCCATGCTTTCAACCTCCAAGCCTAAAGACAAGCGGTACGAAGCCGACATTTGGGAGGGATTCCTGTTCCGGTTCCTAAGCCCACACACGCACCTTAGTTTTGACGCTTGGTTCGATCCTAGACACGAGACACCATTTCACTGCCACTATCTTGAACTACTGCTGCACCAAGGGAGCGACTTGTCGGCGGAGGCACTACTTCCACTCGCATACCTCTCTCAAACAGCACGCTTCGTACGCCCGCAGATGCGGTCAAAGCATGGCATCGTTAGACAAATCATTCACAACCAACTCCAGTTATTGAAGTATGTCGAGCTACTCGTGTAGGGAGGCTGGTTGATGTTTTACCTGCCTCGTTGAACGCGAGTTATTGCTTGGTCACCTGAACGACAGCGCTCTGTTTTCCTCCATGGCGACGAGCGTCCACGTCGTCCCGCGCTCCTCTCCCACGAATCAAGCTGAGGCCGGGCTGCTGGAGTAATCCACCAACGGTTTCTACCCCTGCCGAAGCCGAAGCGAACGGCAGGTCCTCTGCCATGATGATGAGAGCTTGTTGCTGGGGAATGGAGGGTGTGTCCGGTTCGGACAGCGGACGATGGAGGGATCCCGCAGATTGTACCTCCTTGTCCCCCACCGAATCGAATCCATCCTTGGGTTCCCCCGCTCACCCTTGTGGCATCCTGCCTGTGCTGGGCATCCCTCGGCAACGAAAGGGCTGGTCATGTCGTTGTAGGCAACCCCTGTAGCAAAGTGTCAGAGAAATTCTAGAGGCCCGTGCCAGGTGCAGGCCCCAACTGTTGCCGCGGAAGGCTAATCGTGTCGCGGAGACTGTTGTCAAGGTTGACTCAGGCGTTCCCGGATTCACTGCTGTGTTCAGGCAAGTTACGTCATCGCAGTCGTTTCGGCTGCCTGCAAGCATATCATCAGACAAGGAAGCCGTTTTTCCTTCCCTGACGAGGGGACATGAAGGCATCCTGCGCAAGACGCGCCCTGGTTCTCCTCCTTCTGCAGGCTCGCGTGGCAGCCTTTTCTGGCCGCTCTCCAGGGTAAGCGAGAAGGACAAACAGTAAGACATCATGAGTGTAATTTTCCCGACTGGGTCAGTGTTTGTGCTGTTGTCGACAACATGAGACTACTTGTACTGCTGTTGTACCTACCTAGTCAGAGCATGCGTTATAGACGATAGATCGACATTCCATGATGCTCAAGGTCCTACCCAGCAGTGTCGACGCTCGGTTTTGCGATGGCTCTACCCTTGTGGTGAGCAGCCTGTTGGCGACAGCAGTAGTCGCCACGGGTCGTGAGTCCCTCGTTGCTGGCCTGGCGTTGTTGTCGGGACGTTGAACGCTTCTCTTCGCCCACTGCTCTGGAAGTTGGGATCTCCACTAATAGCGCGATGGCACCGGTTGAGGGTTAGGTATCGTCATGTTCACCTCCGTACCCTTCCCGGGATACTAGGGTGCGCTTCCTACTTGTTGGAGCTCAGCCGGGGCGCGCCATACGATTTTGTCAACTTGCGTGCGTTTTCGAAATCCAAGCGAACGCCAGGACCCTGGTGCGCGTTGTAGATCATGCGTTGACGTCGAGGTCTATTACTTTACTTGAGAGACTTTCCTCTTGTACGGGTATTTGCGCACCGACAGGACCGATGACACTAACTGCTGTAATGTCGCGGGATTTTTCCCGACAGATCTCGGGGTGCTTTCGTTGCCTCCGCGGGCACAGCCTAACTCAATCTGAACTGAGAAGTCGATCAAATTGTAGAGTTGTGAATCGGAACGATGTACACGATATATATCGTCCGATATATATCGATATCGGTATCGAAAATTCGTGCCGATGTTCCGACCGATGTTTTCTTAGGGGCTCCGTGAATCAAATTTAGGGTATGCGCAGCAGTACGGAGCCCCTGTACGCCACACACACACAGCACAGCAGCGCAGAAACAGCAGACAACAGCACCATGTCCAGAACCAACCGGGAAGTAGACACAGGGAGAGACCGAAGGAGGGTACTGCTGAGGATACGCGACAATACATCAATCTTAATCTTTTTTTTTTTTTTCTACATTCCGTGCGATGTTTGCAGCTGAAGTCAAGCCCTTTTTGATGCCGCATTTGGGCCCATTTTGACGGGAAATGAAAGGAAAATGCACCAAATTTTCTGCCTCCGGCGGCGCCTCCGGCGAGGCCCCCTCACCAGCCGGGGGGGGCCGATGGGGGGGCTCGCTTCGCTCGCCCCCATCACGGCTCGCTGCGCTCGCCCGATATTTTCTCCGATATATCGCCGTAGGCGATATATCGGAGAAAATATCGTTATATCGGCTGCTGCGCAGCCGATGTAAAATATATCGTTTTTTCGTACCGATTCACAACTCTATCAAATTGTATTTGCGTGAATGCGTATGTAGGCACATCAGCTATTTTTCTTCACTTCAGTGCAGTGAAGCTTATGTACTTTGCCGTGGCGAGCACACAGCAGTCGACATGTAAAGGGATTGTTGCAAGTCGGCGTGTGAGTGGATTGCTTACTGCGTGCCTGTAAGCATGCCCTTTTTTAAATTTATTGGCGAATCTTGTTCGAGCGGGGTGGCTATTACGCAAGAGTTCGAAGTCTCGAGACGAACATCAACTCTTTGCGGCGGAACTGCCAGCCAACATCAAGATTCCCCGGCTGCTGCTATCTATGTAGTCTCTTTGTGCGGAGTACCAACATGAGTTGTAATGCAAGTGGACTCTTGGGAGACAAACATTCCCCCGCATGGCCAGGGCTAAGCCCGGGACTCGTTGACAGATCCAACCATGGAGGTGGAGCCATGGAAATCGTTGCGGAGGAGGCTGTAGCATATACACCATCTTGCATCATATCTTGTGCCACTCGGTGATTTCACGTGCATCGCCTAACGCTATATGGTAATGCCAGCAAAGATGGGAGTTGCATTCCACATGACGGGTTGCCTCCAGGGCACATGC